GGGGCAGGGAAGACACCAGAGCTCAGGAGAGAAAAGCAGCTGGCTGCTGGTGAGATGGGAGGAGGACCTGAAGCAGCTTCATTGTCACCAGAAACCTGACCCTCTTCGGTTTAGCCAGATAATAACTGCCTTGGCTGGGGAATGTTAAGGAAACCTGCCAAGTTTGCAGTCTGCCTCTCAGCCTAGACAACCTTTGAGAGAGTAGTGTATCTCCTGAACTGGCAGAAATGAGAAAGAGCAGAGGGGAGAGCTAACATTTCTCGTTAGTACACCATGCAGACTGTCAAAATAAGTTGCCCAATCTATTTTATTCTAACCGTGAGAAAGTACGACATCCGTAAACAGAGGAGAAGTTATAATTGTGGGGTTTAGAATTTAAGGAACTCCAAAATGGCTCCTCCGGATAAATTTATCTCTGCTAATCATTGTTTACCTCTGCTGTGTTCTTTTATTATTTATAGTTTTAAGAATGAAATTAAATTTTTCCTTGTCATAAAAATAATACATGTACATGGTTAAAAATTCCATCAGTACAAAGGATATACAAAGCTAAGTAAGTATTTCAACAATATAACCATGTAGAATCTTCCTAAATTCATCTATATCTTTAACTCTATCCCAGTAAAAATGCTATCAGAATATTTTAAGATGACACAAGGGAAAGCTAAAGTAAATTGGGAAAAGTAAATGTGCAAAAATAGTGATGAAAATTCTGAGAAAGAAAAATAACAGAGGAACATTTACCCTGAAAGATTAAAAATATAAAAGTATCATAATTAAAAGCTTGGTAGTGCCACAGGAATAGATACATTAATGGTATAAAATAGTATACAGAAATAGGCCCAAACGTACATGGAGCTGGAGTATAAAACAAAAGGTAGAATTTTAAGATCTGAGGGAAAAGATTACTAATAAATGGTGTTAAATCATTTACCTTAGTATCTAGAAAAAAATAAAATTGGATCCCTATCTCATTTTTATTTTTGATGAAATCTCACTCTGTCGCCAGATTGGAGTGCAGTGGCATGGGACTACATGCACACACCACCACGCCTGGGTAATTTTTTGTATTTTAGTAGATACGGGGCTTCACCATGTTGGCCAGGATGGTCTCGATCTCCTGACCTCGTGATCCACCCGCCTCAGTCTCCCAAAGTGCTGGAATTACAGGCATGAGCCACCGCGCCCGGCTTCATTTCTTATACCAAACAAACTTCAGATGAATCACATTTTAACATTTAAAAATAAAACCATAAAAGTACTGAAAGAAAACATGGGGGAATTTTAAAAAATAATTCTGGGTGATGCTATAAACTGAATTGTGTTCCCCAAAATTCAGGTTCGAAGCTCTAACCCCTAGTATCTCTGAATGTGACTGTATATGCAGATAGAGTCTTTAAAAAGGTAATTAAGTTAAAATGAAGTCGTTAGGGTAGGCCCTAATCCAATATGACTGGTGTCCTTATAAGGAGGAGATTAGGATCCAGGCAAGCAGGGGTTAAATCTTTCTAAGCAAGATACAAGGTTCAGAAGCCGTAAAAGAAATAGTTGATAAATTTAACTGCATAAAAATGGAAAATTTCTGCATAAAAGCAAAAACAAACTTTAGCAACAATAAAAAGCTCATCCACTCCCAATCAATTCAAAAAACAAATAATAAGTTGGGAAAACCTAGTGACACTCAAAGAGCTAATTTCCTTAGATTGCCAGATTTATTCATTCTCTCTCTCTCTCTTTCTCCCTCTCTCACTTTCTTCCTTTCAAACTGGAATTCCAAATTTTTATATGATATCTCCTGAAGGTTTCATGTTGAAAGCTAATTTGATTTTTAAACACACTGTACAAGCCAACACAGCATGGGGCTCCTGATTTGGGATCTCTGGTCTAGACCATCACCACAGGGGGCCTTCCCTTCAGCAGATCAGTCCAAAGTGACCTATGAGTCTTCTTTAAGATCTCACTGCCACTGGGTGATGCAGGATGAGGATTCCTTTTTAGTCATCCAGAATCTCTCTCTCTCTCTCTCCCTCTCTCTCTCTCTCTCTCTCTCTCTCTCTCACACACACACACACACACACACACACACACACACACACACAGAGGCATGCCCAATTAATATTCTCTCTCTCACACCAGTATATTTTGGAGCTGTATTATGGAAGGAGACCATTTCCCTATATGCAACATAATATGTGCTGACCCTTCCCTGCCCAAATGGGAACAGTGCTTTAGGTTTTTCGTGCAGGGCTGTGTGAGTCACCTCCTTTCTCCTCATAGTATATGGTAGCACAAGGCCCAGAGGGCTACCTGCAGAAGAACCGGGAGCCTTCCCAGAGCTGCCTGTTGATGGAAGGCTACACTGAGAACCTGAAATAGCGTTCAAATGACTGCCTTCTCTGTACTTGAAGCCAAATCACATTCCCAGGCAGACATATCCAGAAGGGAAAGAAAAAACAGGAAAACTTACGATCCACTTGTACAAGAATCTCCTCCTATGAGCAAGTGTTAGGTGAGGGGATGAGATGCCTATCTCAGGGACCAGGCTGTAAAAATTCATAATTTGAATTTTTAACTGTGGTTAATCTTGGGTAGTGGGATTTGGGATAAATTTGCTTTTATTATGTGTAATTATCTGTATTTTCTGAATTTTCTACAGTGAACTCGTGTTGTTCTTACAAACAGGAAAAATGATAAATGCCATAAAAATCATTTTGAATATTAATCTTATCTTCCTAACAAGGCTAAATAAGCTCCGTGAGAGGGAGTCACTCATGTGTACGTGGGGTATCCTTCCCCATACCTACAGTGTTGGGCTCACAGTATGCACTTAATGAACCTTCGCTGACAGTCATTGATTTGGAGTCTTCTCCAGAGCTAATCCTGATGAAGGTCACCAGGCAGAAGTCTTGCCTGGGTCAGAATGACCGTTGTGGAACTGAACGGAAAGCAGATCTGTGGGTTGGACTGGTTTTGCCCTGCACTGATCTTGCCCCTCGGGCACCCAGATTGGAAGTGCTGTTTTCCAGGACTCTGCACTGGCAGCCTGTCGTTTGGTATTATTTTTGACTTCGGTTAGTGTTTGCTGGTTTACAATAGGGTTTCTGCTCACAGGTTTAAAACTGATTGTGTTTATCATCTATCAGCTTGAATGTTATTTCAACCAAGAACCTCCCCTGATCTCCTTACCTAGAAGTAATATTTTCTTCCTCCAAGTTTTATTATATGCTTTTTACCTCCACATCATCCATCACTTTCTAAATTTGTGTTATAGTTAAACACACATGTCATCTCCCCTCCTAGATTCTGTGTTTCCTGAAATTTGAATCCATTCTTACATGGCTTGCTTTGTCCTATAATAAGATAACAGCTACCATGGTTCAAGAAGTTACTTGTGTGCCAAGCCCTTTACACGGGCAATCCTGCTTAAGCCTCACAACTACTTCCCATGAAGTATTTTTATCTGCATTTTACAAGTGATGAACCTGAAGTCCCAAAAGATTAATATAATATCTGGTATAAGGTGACAACAGTTACTAAGTGGTAGAGCCTGGATTTGAACTCAAGTAGCTTGACTTGAGAGTCTTAACCACCGGGCCATAGCACCTCTGAATAGTACTTTCTGCATATTATCAGCAGTAAAGATGCAGTAGACCCCTGTTAAATGAATTCATTAATCAGTTCATTCATGATCCAAGAATGTTGGGCAGCTGTTAGGAGACCATCCCAGTTTCAGATGCCTCTTCCGACCTACATACACCTTAGGACGGCTCAAACTGTAAAGGACTTAGGAATAAAATCAGAGTTAGATCCTTTCATATCCAAACCACTATCAAACGGAGTTCCACCAAGACTAACATTAGTGACATTAGAATTAACTCAAGACATTGCTTCACAGTGCCATGCAGACCTAGCTGAGTCTGATAACTTCCTAAAAAGGAGAGGTTACACATCTCAAAGACCTGAATTACGTAACTCTTTGAACTGCAGTGTTTGTTGTGTGTGTCAGAGGGAGAGGGCGGCCATTTCTGCCTTGTAGGGTTATTGTGAGGTTTAATGAGATAATGTGAAGTGCCCAGAACAGTGCTTGGTACATAGAAAGAACTTCACACGTTAACACTACCCTCCCCTCTAGCCTCATCTCTGCTTTGCAGCTAAGCTGAAAGAAGGCACAAAGCCAAGAGGAGAGATGAAAGATGACAGCTGGCAAGACAAGAGATGTTAGTCAGATTCCACAGGGTTACGTGATTGTGAATCAGAGGTGTCAAGGTCCACTCCCAAGATTCCAAAGAGCAGCTTTTAATCTTGGCAGGAAAAGTTAGGCAGGAGAGGGATCAGTGAGAGACCTAATGGAAGAAAGAGGAAGTATTTATTCCAGGCAGAGGGAGAAATTGGTCCATGGGATTCTTTTACTGTGATGAGTGACTATTTTGTTGGCCAGAATTGGATTAGTTCAAGGGCATTCAAAGATCTACAGATCTCACTGAGTTGTCTGCATTTTATTGAGGAAGGGAAGATTAATTGCAGGCACCTGCCAGTCTAGTCATCCCACTTAATGTAACCAGTCCCAGAAAATTCCTCTCTCATTCCAGAAACCACTAAGTCTCCTGACTCTATGAAGTTTGCACGTCTGTCTGGAAAAAGGCAGTTTGGGCCTCATTCTTCCCAAGCAGTAGAAAAAGCCAATCTCAACAAAGCTGGAAGTTTGTCCTAAGAATCTGGAAGGTCACTTAAAACATATTTCGACAACCTATGTCTTAGATAAAGCTCCACAGAAACAGACTCCTAGACAGAGATGTGCATGCAGAGCTCGTTGCTTTGTTGTTTATGGGGAGTACAGAGTGACAACTCCTGGGAGTAAGGGAAGCAGAGTTGGACAGAGGGAGAAGTTGAACTGTAGTATCGTTGCTATAGAGGCTTCCGCTGGGCCTTGGGGGGCACAGAATGACAAAAGCGCTAAGTTACCCCCAATGAGACAAGATGTGGGCCTTTGTATCCCTTAGAGACCATTCATTTGATGCTGCCTGACCCCAAGGAAGGGGTGCAGCCTCATGCAAGGCCCTTGCTGAGAGCCATTCCAGGAGATGGATTCAGCTATGAGGCGCCGACAGCTAGCAGTGTAGCTGCGAGGATCCGAATATCCACCACAGCCTGCTGTGCAACTCTGAGTCATATTTAAAACTCAAAACCTACTAAGACATGTTGGTATGTTGATTTATTTTTTATTTTTAGAAACAAGGTCTCACTCTATCAAACAGACTGGAGTGCAGCAGCACTTTAACCTTGAATTCCTAGGCTCAAACAAGCCTCTTACCTCAGCCTCACAAATAAGGATTGCTGGAGCCCGGGAGGTCAAGGCTACAGGAAGCTATGAGTATGCCACTGCACTCTAGCCCAGGTAACAACAACAACAAAATAGCCTTATTTGTCAAGCCCTTGGAAGAAAAGATGAGAGCTTATTAGATGTTGGCAAAAATAAAAATAAAAATAAAGAAAGAAATAGACAAGCGATATCACCCACCCACTGGTTCCCTCTATGGCTGACCCCTTATATTTCCAAAGCATTTTTCTTGTGTATATTATTTAGAATCTGTCTTATATTAAATAACTTTTTATTTTGTTTGTTTTTCAGAGACCCAATGCTTGCTAATGTTCGTCTGTTTTTGGAGTTGGTGTCTGGCTTCTCCACCAGTTGTGAGTTCCTGGAAAGGAGATCTCAAGACCTATTTCATTTTCCTCCTAGTGAAGGATGATATTCATAATAGTTGATGCTCAGTACAGCATAGGCACTGACCAATTCAAACTGACACAGGTTTTAAGCAATTTGCATGGCAATATTGCTGTATAGAGCTGAATATTTGTTCTACACATAGAAGGCATCCAATAAACAATTTTGAATTGAATTTTATTGGTTTTGTACTTGGCTGTGGTATCTAATGGCCTTCCTTCAGAAGGCAGGTAGCTTTTCATTTTTTTGTCAAAATATGATCATAATGATTTTTCCTCCTTGATTTAGATTCTACAGGTATCTGCAAGTAATTTCAAAGAACCTTGTAAAAAACAAGACACTCTGCACCTGCAGTGCCCAATATATAGCCTCCAGCCACACGTATAAGGTTGCTAGGTAAAATATGATGTGCTCAGTTAAATTTGAATTTCAGATAAAAAAGAATAATTTTATAGTACATGTGTGTTCCAGGCAATATTTGGAGTGTACTTCAGCCACAGAATTATTTGTTGCTTATTTGTAACTGATAATTAACTGAGCATCCTGTACTTTATTTGTTAAATCTGATAACCCTACTCATGAGTATCTAAATTTAACTTAATTAAAATTTAATTTAAAATTTAGTTCTTAAGTCTACTAGCCACATTTTAAGTGCTCAATAGCCACATATGGCTAATAGTTACCATCTTGAACAGTACAAATATAGAACAGTTCCATAATCACAGAATGTTCCATTGGACATCACTTTTGCCAAGCAAAAGATAGCTTGTAAAACAACTATTTTACAGTTTGTAAAAAAACTATATTTGAGGCTGGGAAACTGCCAGGAAACCCTAGAAGGTCCCTTCTGACACTGCCAAGCCACAGTCTTCCTGTTCATCTGTTACTCTTACTGAATATGCAAGGTGTTTGATGAAAAGGTAGAAGGCATCTTTGTTTCAGAAAAACGAGTTGATATGAGAGAAGCAGCTTTTGGGGATCTATGTTTGTAGAGACAATAGTTCTACTTTCCTTCTGGACTACCAGGAAATAAGCTAGCTATCAGTCCAAAGCAAGCCAAATTTTAAAAGCTCCTAAATGAAAAACGAGTGTATATCACTTACTAGTATTATTATTCATAGATTCTCTTAATAATCAGAGAGCATCATCAACTGGAATATCTGCTTAGAGCTCAAGTTGTTGATGAACTTGGTAAACACAGCAGAAGTACTGCCTCTCTTAATTAGCCTTTTGGGAAAAAACCACGTTTTGAATTGCTGCCTATGGCCCTGGGAATCTTTTAAGAGCAGGAGCCGATTAAGATCTAGAAGAGATATGTGCCAAAGGCTGATTTTTACATGTGACTTGGCAAGTCTTAACAGAATCTGCCTGTCATACCGAATAGGACCAGCTAAAAGTATATGAAGCCTGTATCAACGTCAAAGGCAGAAATCATAAAGAAAACAATTGATAGGTTTAACACAAGGTACTAAAAAGCTGTACATGAAAGTTATAAAAAGTAGGCCAGCCAGGAGTTCAAGTCCAGCTTGGGCAACATAGCCAGAATCAATCTCTAAAAAGAAAAAATAAGATATTAAAAGAAAAATAAGGGTAGATGACTTACATTTGAAAATATATATTTTTTTAATTTTTATTTTATTTTATTTTATTTTTTTCTTTTTTGAGATGGAGTTTCGCTCTTGTTACCCAGGCTGGAGTGCAATGGCGCGATCTCGGCTCACCGCAACCTCCGCCTCCTGGGTTCAGGCAATTCTCCTGCCTCAGCCTCCTGAGTAGCTAGGGTTACAGGCACGTGCCACCATGCCCAGCTAATTTTTTGTATTTTTAGTAGAGATGGGGTTTCACCATGTTGACCAGGATGGTCTCGATCTCTTGACCTCGTGATCCACCCGCCTCGGCCTCCCAAAGTGCTGGGATTACAAGCTTGAGCCACCGCGCCCGGCCTACATTTGAAAATATTGTTATGTATGTGACATAGTTGGCACACAGTAAATAGCCATCATATGAATAAATGTCTATGAAAGAATGTTTGACTTCAGGACTAATCTAAGAACTACAAATTAAAATATAACAGTGATACTTCATTTTCACCTGTCAGCTTGGCAGTAATGAAATAAAAAATTAATACCCAGTGTTGGTAATGATGAGGAGAAATATGCCATAGCACGACACATCACTGATGGGAACGTAAAGTGGTGTAAACTTTTTGACGGGCAAGCTGACAACATTTGAAAAAAGTTTGTCCAAAACCTTTGACACAGCAATTTCATTCTGAGGTAGTTATTCCAAGAGAATACTTACAAATGCCCAAACCTATGTATTCAATGGCAATGTAGATGATATACTATTAGTCCATTCTCATATTGCTATAAATAAATATTTGAGATTGGACAAGTTGTAAAGAAAAGAGGTTTAACTGGCTCATGGTTCTGTGGTCTGTACAGGAAGTATAGTTGCGTCTGCTTTTGGGGAGGCCTCAGAAAACTTACAATCATGGTGGAAGGCAAATTTGAAGCAGGCATGTCTTATATGGCCGGAGCAGAAAGAAGAGAGAGAGAGTGGGGGTGGCGGAGGTGCCACACACTTTTAAACAGCCAGACCTCATGAGAACTCTATCACCAGAACCACACCAAAGGGGGAAATCCGTCCCCACTATCCCGTCACCTCCAGGCCCCACTCCAACCTTGGGGATTACAATTTGATGTGAGATTTGGGCAGGGACACAAATCCAAACCATATCAACACATATATTTTGTTGGTTTGTTGGGTCAATCCTTGTAATGCCCTCTTGATCTCAGTGTTTGCTAAAAGACACAGACACAAGATGCCATTACTACAGAATTATCCAAGTTGGAGATACAAAAGAGTTCCGTCTTTGGCCTCTGGCATTCTGGCTATGTGGCTGGGATTCTAGAACTATTAGTAGCCATGTCTTCCATCAGAATTTAGTCAACATATAGAAGTAGAGATCAGCTGGAGAGATGGAGAAAGATAAAACATACTGGTGCGATTTGAGATGATCTATCCAGTTAATCTTAAGGCCAGTGTATTTTCTTCCTTTCTAGGGTTGGATTACATGAGCCAATTAATTCTACTTTTTATTTTATTTTATTTTTTTGCTCTGTTGCCCAGGCTGGAGTGCAATGGCACGGTCTCGGCTCACTGCAAACTCTTGTTTTTTTCAGTTTCAAGCAATTCTCCTGCCTCGGCCTCCCGAGTATCTGGGATTACAGGTGCCCGCCATCACGCCCGGCTAATTGTGTTTTTAGTAGAGATGGGGTTTCACCACGTTGGCCAGGCTGGTCTCAAATTCCTGATCTCGTGATCCACCCTCCTTGGCCTCCCAAAGTGCTGGGATTACAGAAGTGAGCCACTGCTCCAGGCCTAATTCTACCTTTTTTGCTAAACAAAACGTAAGTGTGGATGTCTACTTCTGACAAAGATGGAATAACAGTGATCAAATTTACCTTCCCACTAAACACTTAGACAAAATATATTTTTAAAAATTAACTGTTTTCAAGACGTCAGACATCAGGCCATGAAGAACAATAATTTATGAGAGATAGGAAACAAAGGAGGTAAGCCCTATGATTGCCCAGGTTACTGCCCAGAGAAAGTTTTTGGGTAGTGGCACAGAAAGGTGGAACCTAGGTAGAGCCTAGTGGAGCTTGAGGTGAGGAGATGGAGCTGAGAGTCCAGGGTGACCCAGACAGCTAGAGTCAACAGGGCAGAATACCAGATAGGAGAGTGCTGCACAGGGAGAGAAAAAAAACTCACAGCAACAGCAAATCCACAGATCTTCAGAAGGTCCCCCTTGAGTACACAGCACAGTACTTGACAGGACATGAATGTGAGGATACTGCTCCAGGCTGGGGACAGAACCACCTGAAAGTATTGAGGCCCCAGTAGCTAGAACTCACATGGGGCCAGAAGTAGTGTCTGTTCCCACCAGGCATATTGGAAGTCTATTATTCACAGGCCATGGTTGAAGTACTCAGAAGGGTCTTGCCTCATTCTGGACCAAAATTGTCCCTAGCCTAAAGGCTGCTCTGGTTCTGCCTAACAAATCTTAAAAACAAGGCCTTAAAGGATCAAACTGTTTCCAAATAACTGTGTCCCAGAACTAACTCCAAAATATTTGTTGGGGCTGGGCGTGGTGCTCACACCTGTAATCCCAGCACTTTGGGAGGTTGAGGCAGCCGGATTGCCTGAGCTCAGGAGTTTGAGACCAGCCCGGGCAACATGGTGAAACCTTGTCTCTACTAAAATACCAAAAATTAGCTGGGCGTGACGGCATGCACCTGTAGTCCCAGCTACTCAGGAGGCTGAGGCAGGAGAATTGCTTGAACCCGGAAGGCAGAGGTTGCAGTGAACTGAGATTGCGCCATTTGTACTCCAGCAACAAGAGCGAACCTACATTTGAAAAAATAAATAAATAAAAATAAAAATTAAAAATAAAAGTATCCATGTTTAGTGTGTATCAGTACTTCATTCTTTTTTTGTCTAATATTCAATTGTATGGATATACCACATTTTATCTATTTATTAATTGATGGACATTTGGGTTGGCTGTTATAAATAATACTGCTATGAACCTTCATGTACAAGTTATTGTGTGGATATATGTCTTTATTTTTGTGAGTATGTACCTTGGAATGGAATCGCTGGAACAAGCTAGAATTGCCAAAATTATATGGCAAATTTGTGTTGAACCTTTTTGTTGTTGTTGTTTGAGACAGAGTCTTGTTGTGCAGGCTGGAGTGCAGTGGTGCGATGATGGCTCACTGAAGCCTTGGCCCCACGGGCTCAAGCCATCCTCCCACCCCAGCCTCCAAGTAGCTGGGACTACAGGTGTGTGCCACCACATTTGGCTAATTTTTAATTTTTGTTTTTTAGATATGGGGTCTCACTAGGACAGTTTTGAACTCCTGGGCTCAAGGGATCTTTCTGCCACAGCCTCCCAAAGTGCTGGGATTACAGGCATAAGTAACCGGCCCCCACTTGTGTTGAACCTTTTGAGGAAGTGCCAGACTGTTTTCCAAGTCAGTGGAATGTATATCATCTGATGTCCACCGATAGTAAATGAGGGTTCAATTTCTTCACATCCTCATCAATACTTATTATCTTTATTTATTTATTTATTTTTTTGAGATGGAGTCTCACTCTGTCACCCAAGCTGG